CCCGTATTAGGTTTATGACAAATCGGAAATGAGTATTTTTTGTCCCCCGCTTGAAAAGTGGGGGATATTAATTTGGGTTTGTCCGTCCGTCCATCCGTTTCTGTGTGTCCGTCCGTCCGTCTTTCTGTCAAGTATCTGTAACGCTTTCGTTTCCACACGATATCTCGAGAGCCCTTTGAGCTTTTGCAATGAAATTTAGCATAGCAACTCCCTATGGACTAAAGAAGACCCCTATTGATTTTGAGGTCAAAAGGTCAAAGGTCAAGGTCATAAATAAGCAAATTCTGTCTGTTAAAACACTTTCGTTTCCACACGATATCTCTAGAACCATTTGAGCTATTGCAATGAAAATTTATATAACAACTCCCTGTGGCCTAATGAAGACCCCTATTGATTTTGAGGTCAAAAGGTAAAAGTTCAAGGTCGTAAATTTATACATTCTGTCTGTGTGTAATACTATCATTTCCGGGTGATATTTCAAGAAGATTTTGAGCTTATGCAATGTAATTTTATGCCAAAACTCCCTAGGACGTCTCTCGCCCCTCTCAAAGTGCCCCGCCCCGTTTGTTTTATTAGTATTTATAGTATTACATGTCGCTATTTTTAGCGCAGGGGCATGAGGAGAGTTATTGCGTATAAAACAGGTTCTCGGCGGACTTTATGTTCATATTACATCTATTAGAACTGTTGAATAAAGGCTAAATAAATCAAACACCATGGATTGTGTAAAATTTTGAGAATACCGAACATGAAAACATGAATATATATATGTATGTGACTTTAGTTCTGCACATACTTCACAATGGGTAAAGCGATTCCGTGGTCCAGTAGTGATGTCTCTCGCTTCAAATGTGAAAGGTCCCGGGATCGAATCTCGGTCGATCCTTTCTTTTTTTTTTTAATACTTTTTTTTACTAAATGATAGTATTCAGCATGTGAAATAAAAAAATTATGAGGTTATAAAATCATTATTACAGTGTGATAAATATTCCTTATAAAAAGAATCTTCTATACACATAATAAAGAATAAGCAATTAAATCTTTATATGCATATTGACATACTGTAGATCACTAAATTTTCGCGACACCTTATTTTCGCGAGACAATCATTGGATCTTTATAAGCGAGACATAATTTTCACGAATTGTTGTTATTCCTCTATATAATCGTAAGGAATACTTATATACGCGAGAATTAAATTTTCGCGAGCTCATTGTCTCGCGTAATTACGCGAAAATAAAGTTCTGGCGAATAAAAAGTGATTTACAGTACATGTATTTTATTTGCTTCAGTATACATGTATACATTTAATAATTCTACAAATTTAATTATTTACAACTTAAGTCAGGGGGATCCGACACCCCCCCCCCCTCCACGAACTGCGCATGGTTTACTTTTTCCCTAAGCGGGGACACAAATTCTCTGAATTAGCTTGTTTTGGCTTGTTAATTTTTTTTTTTACTGGGTGGACCCCCAACCCCCACCCTGAAAAACAGTTCTGGATCCGCGCCTGAAATTGATACCTTCGCTGAGACGTCCCCATCCGGTAATGTAACAAGTTCTTCCGTTGTAGAAGGTAGTACTGGTGGAGGTGGGTAGGGTGGCTACTTTCACGAATTCATCCAGTTTGGCGGGGGAAGACAGTCTCAGGATGGCAATGTCATTCGGGAATCCTCCGGCGCTATCACTGTATTCCGGATGCTAAGTGGATGAAATGAATCCATCTATTATTATACTGTGATGTATTTATATTTACATCCACTGAATATGTTTTCTTTAAGAAGACCATTACCATTACTCAGTGCATGAACAACACTATGCAAGCCACGTGCGTAGATTTCTTGGACAATGGCTGTTCCATCAGTTGTGAATACAATTTAGATTTACATATTCATCTTAAATACAATATTTAAACAAATTTAATTTTACTTTGAATGATTTTTGATACAGGTATAAATACAAACAATAAATTGCTTTCTTTGTTTGTTAGTACGGGAATTAACGTCGCACCTATTGTAGAAAAAAACACATAACAGCCTTATGCGGGTTATATATACATGTATAATATTTTTTTCAATAGCTGCGACGTTAATTCCCGTATTAGCAAACAAAGAAAGCATTTTATTATTTAAATTACTAGACCAGGAATACTTTATAATTTGTATATAGAAGAGTACTTCTATCAAAGAATAATGTCTTAAAATTTTACTTTTTCAGAATAGATATATTTTTAGAGAGAGAGAGAGACCATTAAAATGTTGGACAGAGTTATGGTCTGTTCGGTTCCTGCATTGACACTGAAATCGTGTTCCCCTAGCAGCAGTCTGTATTTGGAGACGGTGGGACTGAAATAAGAAAAACGAGAATGTCGTGAATCATCTATATAAACTAAGACAAATTTCGATATGTACAAAAACTATTAGCGAAGCAGCGAAGAAAAATTCTGACTAATGCTGTTGATCAGTTGTATGTTTGAGTTTCACTACTGGTTTATACCAATAATTTTCACTCAGAATTAAAGGACGGTATGTCTACACAAGCATTATACTTTGAACCTTAAGGTTCTCTGTCTCTATGATAAGAGGGATACAGTAAACATATTGAATTTACCGGTGTATTCTAATTAGCGATTTTTGCGGTAAGTAGAGTACGCTAAATCAAGTACATAGCTAAATGCCTTGTGTATCATACAGATATATCTAGCACATTCAGATTGCGCTAAATCAAATCCACGCTAAATATAGTTGAAAATTCAATTTCCGCCAAATATCGATCACGCCAAATATAATACAATTACAGGAACTCTCACTGTATGAGGTGAATGATTTTTAATCTTTAATAAAATTTTCTTTAATTAGCAAGAAAAGGGAGAGAGAGAGAGAGAGAGAGAGAGAATTTTCTATCAAATTTTGCCCCATTATGTACATTGAAGTAATTATTTTTATAAGTTCATTTATAGAATTGCTATAAGAGAATCAATAGTAACGAAGGACGACGAACCATAACACTGAGGAAGAGGCGATAATAAAACGGACTTTCATTTGAGATTTTTATTTCCAGGTAGCATATATATATATATATATATATATATATATATATATATATATATATATATATATATATATATATATATATATATATATATATATATATATATATATATATATATTACATTTTTGTTGACAGGATACAGTCTGAATGTAAAAGAATGGCTAAAATAGATTTTGAAAGATTGTTAAAAGAAATGAAAAACTAAATACTGATACCTACTCATGAGATACACAGTGTGCGGCGGTCAAGGCGTAATTTTCGGAGATGAGGGAGGCGCCACAAATGTGTCCGTAGCCCCCAGTGGAACCCTGGAACTGCAGGGAAATCTGCCAGGGCCAGTCGTTAGGGGTAGCATCGGATCCCCCAACAATCTTGCTCAGGGGTGAGGCGGAGCAAACTAAACAAAGATATTCATCAGAAAAATATTTAGTTTTCTTAAAGGGTAAAATAGTAATTTTTTTTTTTTTTATAATGGGCCACTAAGATAATTATATATGCTCCCTAGGGCCCTTGATTGTTCAATAAATATACGATTGGTCCCTAAAAAAAATAGTCCAACATAATTTTATGTGTGTATAATACAAGTATATATGCAAATACTCGTAAAATACAAATATAATTTTCCTTTTAAAAAAATATATTTACATTAAGAGGGCTGGGTGGTTGTAGCCATTTTTAGATTACTAGTATATTGATCTCATTTAGAAAAATAGCGTCATTTAAAGATCTACAAAAATGATGAAATTTTAAAACCCAAATGCATGAAATTTTTCTTTTCCAAATGATAGTTGACAGCTTAAGATATCATATCTAAATTTAAAAAATGAACTTATATCTAATGGATTTGGCCCCCAGCCTCCTTAATTATATATGTGTGGTAAATCTCATTTTCAATAAACCTGGGTAAATAAATGAACAAACCTCCGACAAGAAGAAGAGCCAATGTCCACATGTCTGTCTGTGTTCTGTCTCCAGAGGATAGCGAAATAGCGGTGCGGACCAGACATTTTATAGTTCTCTGGTGAGCGCAATATGTACTTTTTCTCATGCAATAATTGCAAAAATACGTTCTATATTTCTTTTTCGTGTCAATTTGTCCACTTTAATCGAGCAATTTAAAAGGTTGCGACCCTCATCTACGTGTTATACTTATTGGGGGACGGATTATTTACAACCTATCCATATAATACATGTATATAAACGTTAACATGTAATTTAACCATTCTCAGTATTGTTAATGAAAGTTTACTGGATTACTGGCAGTATTCATCGTGACGTCGCAAACCACAGATAAAATGTACGATTCTCTCCTATTCAGGAAGGAGAGAGCTATATGCGAACTCCGGACCGTGGCTTGAGACGATGGTAAGTTTTATGTTTATCAATTTTTATGCCCCCGTAAACAAAGTTTCGGGGGTATATAGTTTTTGCCCTGTCCGTCCGTCTGTCTGTTTGTCCGGAAAAACTTTAACCTTGCCCATAACTTTTGACTGGGTGGAACTATGGCTTTCATATTTCACAGATGTATTCTTCCTTGTTATAAGACCTTTCCGTGGACTACATTTTTTTAACCAGTGAGCTACATATCTTTTTCAAGTTTTCCCAAAGAGTACTCATTAATATGCTGTTTAGCACATTTTAAACTGGAAGTTTCGATAAAACTTTTATACTGAAATTAACTATCATACTGATTTTAATCACACTGCGTAAAGAAGATGGGTGAACAAGGCGTGTAGAATGCCTATAGCATCAGATGAAATATATTCAGCTTGTGAATTAAGTATTTAGAGTAAAGTTCTAATAGATTATGCTCAAAACTTTTTTCTGAGTAAAAAAAAAACAATTAAAGAAGCCTCTCTTTGATATTTTTTCCGCAGTCAAGAGTAGTCAAGAGTCCAACTCACCCTTGCTTACATGACAAAAGATAAAACACAAATAAAAGAGTTTCTTGTACTTTATTCCATTAAAATTCTCCTTGGAGAACCCGACATATTTACAAGTCTGTATTCTGGCGGATCCAGCTCAGATAGTTAGACACACGGGTGTAGACGGTGGGGCTAGAGGTGGGGCAGTTCTGAAGACCCCAGGAAGTGGCGCCCGCTAATTCCCAGACACCGTTGACGTCACAGACAAGGGGGCCACCAGAGTCGCCCTGAACAGAAAACACAACATTTAATTCACTCAACTCAGAAAGGTTTTAAAAAATTAACTCAAACATAAATAGAAAATAAATTGCAAACTTAAACACGTCCTAAATTTTTCTTGTATCGTTTCTGAATCTTAATTGTACACATGATATATATTTAAAATATATATATATATTATACTGAGGAAACATAGGAAACAATTAATATGTTCTGTTGGAAGCAATTTAAGGGAGACAACCAAACAATCGACATTTTTTGTCCCCCCGCCCAAAAAAAAAATATGTATGTTGGGGTGGGGTAAAACCTGAAACTGTACGTGATGACCCCTCCCCCCCCCAGTTACACACTTACATTACATGCTCCATTGCTACCGGTGTAGACGCAAACATGTGGTCCCTCCTGGAGGTAGAGGAGTCCCGACATACCAAGGGCGCTACGACAGTTACTGTGGGAGATAACTGTGGTCTGGGCTTCCTGCAGAGTGTCGGGGAGAGAGCCACCTTAAGATATAACATTCTGGATTAATTTATTTAATTTATTGCTAAATAATAAAATGTAATAAATCAGAGAAAAATATCGAGAAAAATTGCATGGACAATCACAGAAGTTCCCCATAACTGCTTATATGATATTTATCACACACTGTCTTTATCCCCTTAAAGTTTACTTTCCACGACCCCTCTCCCTCTTACAATGACAAATTCATGCGCGGATCTAGAAGGTGGGGGGGGGGGGGGGGGGGGCGGACCCCTCCTGGAATCTGCCGAGTTACAAAATACATACATGTATACTAAATCAATTAAAAAGTGACCTTGGACCCCCTCCCCACCCCAAAAAACGATGATCCCTGCTCTAAAAAAAGTGGATCCATGTGATTTTGGCATGAAAAGTCCTAGGTATGACGCTTTATGCAAGTCAATCAAAGTCAAATTCGAACCCCCCCCCCCCCCCACACACACACACACACAACCCCCGTAATAGGTTTTTGGCAAATGGGAAATAAGTACGTTTTTGTTCCTTTTTTGTCTGTTTTGGAAATATTATTGAACTGGGTGGAACCACCCCACCCTGGAAAAAAAATCCTTATATCAGCGCCTGAAATTGGTACCTCCGCTGAGACGTCCCCATCCGGTGATGTAACAAGTTCTTCCGTTGTAGAAGGAAGTACTGGTGGAGGTGGGTAGGGTGGCTACTTTCACGAATTCATTCAGTTTGGCGGGGGAGGACAGTCTAAGGATGGCAATGTCATGCGGGAATCCTCCGGCGCTATCACTGTATTGCGGATGCTAAGTGGAAGAAATGAATCCATCTATTATTGCACTGTGTTGAATTAACCAGCCGAGGACTAATTTATCATTTGTAAAGATATATATGCTTTAGAGTATTTCTGCAATGTTAAAGAATGTTTTCTTTTAGAATTTTACTTGTTTAGAATAAAATATTTTTGAGAGAGAGAGAGAGAGAGAGAGAGAGAGAGAGAGAGAGAGAGAGACCATTAAAATGTTGGACAGAGTAATTGTCTGTTCGGTTCCTGCAGTGACACTGAACTGGTGTTCCCCCAGAAGCAGTCTGTATTTGGAGACGGTGGGACTGAAATAAGAAAACGAGAATAATTTGATTCTTCTATAAACCTGGGTAACATCTAAATCCGCCAGTGATTCTGACAAATGCTAGTGATCAGTTGTATATATTTCAATTTCACCACTGGTTTATACCAATAATTTTTACCCAGAAGTAGAGGACTGTATATCTACACAAGCATTATACTTTGAACCTTAAGATTTTTTTTAATACTTCATACTGAATATGAAGTTATGTGCATTTAATTATTTGTATAGAAATAATATATTTTTTCAAAGAATCAATAGTAGGAAAGCAAAATTAACAGAGAATGATCAATCTTTAATCTTAGGGAAGCTGAGATTATAAAAACAAACTCAAGTTTGTGGTTTTTATTTCCTGATTAAAATTTTTAATATTTTTACGTTTTTTTTATTGGCATGCAGTCTGAAAGTAAAAGATAGAGAACGGATAAAAATGGAATTTGAAAATCTGTTTTTAAAAACTAAGATACTGATACGTACTCGTGAGACACGCAATGTGCGGCGGTCAAGGCGTAATTTTCGGAGATGAGGGAGGCGCCACAAATGTGTCCGTAGCCCCCAGTGGAACCCTGGAACTGCAGGGAAATCTGCCAGGGCCAGTCGTTAGGGGTAGCATTGGATCCCCCAACAATCTTGCTCATGGGTGCGGCGGAACAAACTAAAAAAGACGTTCTGACCCTTTGAAGAATATTTAGGATTCTTAATGGATGAATACAATTCATTTTATATATGGTACATTATGGGCCACTAAAATAAACGTATATGCCCCTTGACCGGGCCCTTGATTGGTGAATAAACAAACTATGGACCATTTAAATAATTGTCCAATTTTAGTAACTGGATTTAGAATATGAACATGCATGTATAATATTTGTGCATACTCGTAAAATGCAAATATAAATTTCATTTTTTTCTGGTTGAAAAAAAATCTTTACATTAATTTTATAAGTATGTTAAATCTAATTTTCAATAAACATAGGAAAATTAAATTAACCAACCTCCGACAAGAAGAAGAGCCAATGTCCACATGTCTGTCTGTGTACTGTCTCTAGAGGATAGCTAAATAGCGTTGCGGACCAGGCATTTTATAGTTCTCTGGTGAGCACAATATGCACCTTTTCTCATGCAATAATTACAAAAATACATCTTATACATTCTTTATCGTGTCAACTTGACCACTTTAATTGAGCAATATAAAAGTTTGTGAAGCGTCTACGTGTTATTCTTATTAGGGAGCGGATTATTTATAACCTATCAATAAAATTTGTAAACTTTTAAAACGTGTAATTTAATCGTTCTCAATATTGTTCATAAAAATTTACTGGATTATTATGATTATCATTTTTTTTTCTGAAATGGTACGTGGAAGCGGTACATATCAACCGGTTTCATTATGTAGCATCGATGGATGAAGAGAGGACAAAAAATATAGAACTTCAAATTCATGCTTCAAGCCTTTATCTGGATATATGGGGTCAGAATTATATAAAATCACACAGGACCACACTCAGAAATCATTCTATTCTTTCGGAAATTAAGCGGGCATACTGTTAACATGATAATGATGAGCAAGAAGCTATTAACCGAAATTGTTAACTTAATGTCCCGTGGATCTATAAGGTTTAGACCCTAAAGGGGGGGGGGGTCATCTAAAATATCCCAGTTAGGGCAGCTTAGGAAATGTTGGAAGGGTTGTCGGCCTCCAACTATTTGTTAAAACATAATTATCGAAACCAGAGACGTTATAGTAAATATATAATGAAAAAGGATATTTAATCGTTTTCTTTGTCAGAAAAGTTGAAACCTAATTACTATATTAACCTGAAATAGGATTTTTATATTTTAATTTGATAATTTATTTATTAATTTTGAGTGATATATATCTTTAAAAAATTTGGAATATACCAATATAAAAGGATTTCTTCGTATGACCTTTATCCAGGGACCATAGATATAAACATGTACCAACATATAGGTCCCAGGAGCTCTGCTTTATCTAAGTATTCATGTATTGTAAATTTATTAATATTTTTCTGTACAAATACAATATAACATAATCTTTATTTTATCTTAAAGCGTTAAAATGTAAAGATCAATATAATCAATATTAGAATAATGTTCTCAATAAACTAGAACTGAACTGAAAAAGGCACCGTAAACTCACACAAAAATAAAAATGAGCGAATTAGCGGGAAAAAAAGAAAGAAAAATGCTAGTAAGATCCAGTATCTGTTGTATATACATTTTGTCACCAGGTGAAAAAGAATGCGGATAGAACGCCACATTCAATGGAATAAGGCTATGAACGAACTATCTAAAATTTATTGCTGAATACTTTCACTTTCAGTTTCAACATGTGGCGACATTGTCGACAATCTCTTGTGTTATGCAATGCTTGTAGCAGATTTAACCAAGGTAATGTGATAAAAATGTTCTCAAGAGATAGTTGCAAAATATATACTTGTCAAACTTTTGTACTGAAAAGATGTTCATGTTGTATTGAAAGATATACCTGCATCCCGAATTACCTCAATCAGCGTAAAAATCTCATGTCATGTTCCTGACAGACTGAGAGTCATAAATAGAATGTTATTTATATTGATGAGGAGTTAAAACAATTTCTGTGTGTAATAATTTTTTTATTGATAGTTTCCCAACGCCATTTTCTATCCAGAGAATATGCAATGCAAGATATTTGGGAGAACAGGTGGCCATCTACAGTGGAAAATGTTCCATTTGGTAGGTTCTGAATCATTGTACAGTGTATGCGATTATTGTGCAAGACTATAATAACATTTATACAGATCAATAATCCCTTTAAAAAAAAAACATGTGTGTCATATCATGATTTCCCCTTCTTCTGTCTGTCTGTCTCTTCATATATCTGCTTAACTGTCATTTTTGTTGCAAGAAATTTTTTTAAAAATGCAATTGCATTATTTTTTAGGTCGATTATCAGTGAAAATGGTTGAAAACTTTGAGAAGTTTGGTCGAAGTAGCCTAATTGACATGGAAATGGTAAATAAAATAAAAGTCTGTCAAAAACATTTATATATTTTATTATTTTTGTATTAAGGAGATCATACAAAAGAGGAATTCAGTGTTATTTTTCATTAGATAAGAGATCTTATAAGTTGTTAATATACTTTTTTCAGTTTGTAAACAGCTTGAAGAATATATCTCAAGAAAATATGGAGCTTGTAGAAGACATCATGTACAGGTGGGTATGAGGGAGGGGAGAAGTGGGGGACAAAAGGGGGCAATCAAAGGAGACTGATTTTATTTGTTTGTTTTAATAGGTTAAAAATACTGTAAATCACTTTTTATTCTGGAGAACTTTATTTTCACGTAATTACGCGAGACAGTGTGCTTGCGAAAATTTAATTCTTGCATATAATAGTATTCCTTAGGATTATATAGAGCAAAAACACAATTGAAGAAAATTTTGTTTCGCTTATTAAGAGTCAATTACGCCAAAATAAGGTGTTGTGAAAGTTTAGTGATCTACAGTAAAGTAAGTTGTTAGGGTAATCATACATTATGCCAAAAATTACTGAAATTGAATTGCCCCAAGCTTATATGCACATGTATATATATATGCAATCCCCTCATTTCCGGGTCCTCGGAATCCATGGAAAATTACTCGGATGTAATAAATGTACCTTATTTATAAACAATAAACAATCTGTTTTAAAACGCAAAATGTTCATTGTGCTTGTAAACAAACATCATGGCTGTTATCGCCTTTGGCTGTGTATATAGTAATTATTGACCAAGCACCTGCTACCTGGCCTTTCAAATCACTTCCCATTATTTTTGATTTGCGTTGTTTGTTTTCATTGAACATCGTTTAAGGTAAATTGTGTTTAAAAAAAGCAACACAATTTTACATCAAAAGTTGTTTAAGTGCGATTGTTGATATGGTTTTGTTGAATTACACGCCAATACAAATGGTTGAAGGCAAAGGCTTTTAAAATCTTATGTCCATCCTTGCACTAAACTAAAAAATACCGTCCCGAAATAAAATATAATAATGGAGTAAAAAGGTGTGCGAAAATCGTAAATCCGCTCTGTTATGAGAACTCAAGGTCAAGTTGATACTGCTGCACGTAGCTCTGACGACTGATACCTGGACGTCAAACGCAACAAGGAGTTACAATTTACGGAACGAGTATTTTTTCAAAAACAAAAACAGTGTGAACCTCTTATGATTTTATTTCTTGTGTTTATCTGATATTTAAAAAAAATGTTATATTAAATTTCGTCGGACACTAAGTGCTTATCATTGTTACATCAGAAATATGTTACGGGTAAACCTCCTATCAAAGCATGTGGTTTTAACAAGAGTTTACAATGTTTTATATGTCATCAATTTACTTGTTTACTTTACCTCTCATTTTTGACATCCCTAATATATATATATTCAAAAAACTTTTTTAAAAATCCAATTGCATTATTTTTTAGGTCGATTATCAGTGAAAATGGTTGAAAACTTTGAGAAGTAAACATAATGACTGTGACGTAATAGTAATCACAGTTAATAGACATAAAGGAAAAGGTAAATAAAATAGACATTTTATATAAAATGTACATAAAAAATAATTTGATATATATTTTTGTCAATTTTGGTTTAAACAGATTTATAAAAAGAGAAATTGTTCATTTTCCTCTTTTATTTTGTAATAAACCAAGTTGTCTTGTTAATTGTAAATGTCATTTTTCTGTTCAGTTTGTAAACAGCTTGAAGAATATTTCACAAGAGAACATGGAGCTTGTAGAAGATATCATGTACAGGTGGGTATGAGGGAGATGGGCGGTAGGGGACAAAAGGGAGCAATCAAGAGATACTCAGAGGAGGATTTTATTATTTTGTTTTATAAGGTTTAATAAAATCTGTTGTTAGTATAATCATACATAGGAGTTACATGTATGCTCAAAGTCCTGAAATTGAAATCCTCCAAGCTGTTAAAAAATTTATATATTTCGAGAAAGGGTTAACTACTGATTAACAAAATAAATAAAGACAGAATCACCTGTGTAATGTTTAATCTGTAATTTGTCTCAGGTTTAGACATTCAGACGATGCTTTCCCAGTTCGAGACTCCATCGTCAATGCTATTGTAAGATCCTACATAGATTTAGACATTGCACAACGGCTCGTACCTCTGATCAAAGACAAGGTGAGAATCCTCTTTCAAGAAATATTGATTGTAATTTACCAAGAACCAAGGTTTTAAGATTACAATTTAAATTTGAGATAGGCTAATAGGTTAGGGAAGATATTGTGCTTTCATCAATATTCATTGAGCACCAGTTTTGAGGATTTTGTTATTAAGTAGATCAGAGGAATTAAATGTTCATTGAATTAACAAATATGATATTCATTTGTATCTATAGACAATGCTTTTGTCCACGAAATTATGTATCTTTGAAAAAGTCTGTTTTACAAAATACATGTATATGAAAATTGATGTCAACGAAAATTGATGAAACCACAGTATATGTTTAATTTGTGGGAGGAAGGGGTATTCATTCTATACAATAAATGTATTTTCCCTTTCTCTGACAGCTAGGCTATGGCTTACTTCTAGATTTCTACACAGCAAACCTGTTGATGAGCCATTTTCTTCAGAAGAATTTAATACAAGGTATTAAGGGCTTTATACATTTTTCTTCCAATAGAATTTCTTTCAACTTTGCAGTCAAATGCACTGATAGCCGAGAGAATTTGCTTCATAATAAATGTATTTCACAAATTTTCATTAAGTTAGCATGAACAATTTGATTTACAACCTTGGTAATAAAAATTATCACTTCATGGTAAAGGGCAATTCATTTTATGTGTATATTTTTCTGTAATCCGTGCACAAAAGAATTTTAAAAGATTCTAAGATATAATTTTTGTCGACAGAGGCAGCCGAAGTTGCTTATGAAATGATTTTCCAAGAAGACACGAGTCACACTCTTACAAACTGCCTGTCATTATACTGCTGTTTAAAACGTTTACAAGACATCACAAACATTCAACCAGAAGAAGACCCCCCAATTATCCCTGCTGAGGTAGTTAGAAACAGAAATATGTATGGTTTCTTATTTGTGATTCTACTGTTTGGTATTTTGGTTATCACTGACACTGTATGTCAGTTTTACTTAAGTCATGCGGATGGGATATAAAATAGTGCCCTCTTCTGTGTCAAAGATAACAACCTCCCTTGGTACAATTTTTAGCCGGGCTTATTGCTCAAAGAGCAATTGCCGGCTTATGTGATCCTGTTCAAGGCAGGATGTTGACCCCATAGTCGCCATTTTAAAGTTACGTGCAAAAATATAGTTCTATACTCTCAACCGCTTTTGAGATAATAAAAACGCTAAATAAAGCAACAAAAATAAAACGAAGTTTTATATATATAAATAAACATTAGTAGTAATGACTTTGAAAACTTCAGTACGAAGTCAAAGAACATAGTTCATTAGCGTAAGGATTTTTGATAATCACTGTTATCGTAGTTTTCTACACATACGAGGTAAAGCAGGAGAGGGAACCAGACTGGCCTGTTTGTTTACATTAAGCTGCGGTACCAGATTAATTCTGATTCTGACAAAATCGGACCGTGGTATTAGGATTGAAAAACTCACTGTCAATGTCTTATCATTTATATTGATGGTTTTAAAATAAATTTTTCATCAGAATATAAACGTGATTCGTGTAGGAAATTCATTCTACTCTGTAAATGAGCCCGGCTCTCTGTACTTCTGAGTACTTTGATTTTTCCAGGTATTTTAAAAAGAGGAGGCTTTTTTTCAAAACTGTTCATACAACATCAATTTTTAAGATACGAAAAAAGTCTGAGCATTGTTAGATTCAATCATTAATTATCCCAATATGCAAATTTGCTGGTGAAAAAAATTTGTATTACATGATGAACAGGAATATGAATATCCTTAACAAAGAATTTGAATACCTTAATTAACAAGGCATACAAATACCCTAAAATGTAAATGTGCTTAGAATATTTTTGTATAAAAAGATCACTTCTCTTTAGGATGAAGAATGGGTGAGAGTGAAAATTGTGCACTACCCTGTGTATGACGATCATTTTGATATCCAAAAAGAACATTTCAGACTAGGAAAATCTTTGTATTTTCTTGGAAAAGCAAATGTGATACGTGATGAAAACTCCACTAAGAAAGACTTAGTGAGTCGCTCTCTACAGTTCGTGGGTTTAGGTCTGTATAACAAGTTCAACAAAGCCCTGGATTTACTGGAAAGCTGGATAGCAGAGGGAAAATCATCTAAAGCACCTGTTTTATGCCAAAGTCAGGTAAATAAATTTCCTTGGCAATCATGGGAATTTAATACCGTAGCTTTTCAGATGACAAGATAATACAAATAAAGTAATGCATTTCATTTAATTTTAGATTAAGATATTTAGAAACCATTTTCTGAACTAATCTTGGTAAATAATTTTGTCATAGAAAGTCTAAGAAAAAAAATTTGATATGTATCAATTGTCTTCATATCAGATTGATATAGATTTAGAAACCATTTTCTATACAAATTAAGGCAAAAAATTATAGAAAGTGTGCAGAACAGCTTTGTTATAATTGACTTGATTTTAGAATGACACATTGAGAAACCATTTTCTAAACAAATTTAGGGAAATAATTTTGTAATAGAAAGTGGATGTAACAGCTGTATATTAATGTATAATACTTGGTTTTAGATTGAGACATTCAGAAATCACTTAAACTGGAGTCCCACCAGAGATCCAGAGGAGGAAGAATTAGATCTGGGACAACAGACCATGGAATACCAGGCCAGGAAACTTTACCTGACAGAGGACGAGAAGGCGGCCTGTATAGAGAGGTTTGAAGTAAGTCTTAGAATATAGCAAATTTATTACTGTAAATCAGCTTTTATTCATGACAACTTTATTTTGCGATTTACCACGGGTAAACTATTTTTCGCCGATTAATTTTGCAATCAAGCTTTTTTTTGATCTGTTGTTAATAGAAACAGAGACTTTAAGGACCGGTTCGCAGCGAGAACTATTCGCAATGACGAAGCTCTCAGGAACCTCACAAAAATATGTGGTATTCAAATAAAAGTTGGTTTACAGTCCATGTACGTGCTTTCAAGGTTATACATGTACACATGTTTTTATTTGATGTCAAAAATTGCAGAGTGTATACTGTATACTGGCAAATTATGACTAGTTTTTGCAATGAGTGTAATTTTTTGTGACATATAAAAAGTGCACCCTGGTGAATAGCCAACTGAACTAAAATTACATTTAATTATAAATTTGTTATTTCAAATATCAGGAAAATGATTTTACAGTCCCAACCCGCTTTGTTCATGACTTCTCTATTTCTTAATCTTGAAGTTTAATCTCAGTATCATCAATATGGAGATAATGTTTGACTGTACATCCTTTGATGAGCCTCACATACTAAAACGAGAATCTAACAACATTCTCTTTGGTTCAGCTCAGATAAGCCTTTTCCATCCTCTTGGGTAGTGATCTACATGCACCAATTCAAAGGATTTAATTTTATTATACTGCATGGTCAAAAGCTTTATTGTAAACTCAGTGAAGGACTTGGAGAATATTTATTTGATAAATTTTTTCATCCTTTCCAGAAACTTGTTGAGGAACTCAAATCCTTTAATGGGATAGCAGACGAAGATATATACACCTACACAATGGATAACATTAAAGCACAAATCCCAGATTTACAGAAGCAAGATATTGATACCCAGAAACAGAAATATCAGATATGGAAAACAGAGATGGCAGATCTGTATAAAAAAGAATTGAGGGAAGAAGAAAGAAGAAAAAAACAGGAGGAAATTCAGGTGAAGATGGCGGAATTAGCCGAGAAGGAGGAGTTGATATTGTCACATGAGAGGAAGAGGCATATACTGTTAGCTCGACACAGAGTTCCCAAGGAGAGGGTGCTGAAGAAGAAGGTGGAGCTAGATGAAGATGAATTAGAAGACAGGATGAAGGCCAGCAGGGCACTCATCAAGAAGAAGAAGTAAGCAAAGTCCTGTGGTCAGAAAATTGAAGAGGCTTGTGCAGAACTGGTAGGAAAATCTTTAGATGAAGTATTTCATCAACAGAGGAAACATATACAGAAGAGAGTGCTTGTGACATTTCACTTTAAATTTGAAAATACTATGTATCTCACGCCTAGGAAGAAAGTAAATGTTAACTTGTATGACACAATCAAGTTTCTGAAGAACTTAGTTTTTTTTACGGCATACACTAATAAATAAATGCCGGAAACTGGTTGTATTTTTAGTTATTTTGCACTGCATGGTGAATAAAAAGATTTGTAAATGAGATATGAATTGAAATTTTCAAAACTTCCTTAAACAGAAAACATGGAGGTGAATTGGATTCAGTTACAAGTGGTTGAAATCATTAACAATAATTATTGTTTGAAAGCTCAGAATTTTTATTCTTTAGTAATGTCAATTACAAAGCTTGATTGCACTAGGCTTCTTCTTTGAGCTCTCTGATTTGACTTAAAAATGTTGAACTTTTCTGCATGGTCATGTTGACTTTGGAACAAACATCCCCTTGTCAACCTCTTTAATGATTTTCTCGGTCTAAAAAAAAGCATAGGGTTAAAAATGTGATCAAATATGATGATTTTATGTAATGTAAAGACAACGAAAAGTAATCTTGCTCAAAAATCCAATTAAACCATACATATTATGAACAGGGCAAACGTGGACCTCTGAAAATTGAAGTAGGATAAGGTGCCATGGATAAAATAAATCCCTTTGCTCCTACACATACCCACTGATAAAAGACGGCAGCCCCAGCACTAGCGTTCCGCACGGCCTTGAAGCTGACCTTGGACAAAATCTTCTTGGCTTTGATGACGTTGCTGTGTTGTACGTCACCAGTATAGTCAGCAATCCTCGAAATGATGCTGTCTGCCTTCTGTTTATAAAGTAGCTTTTGGACTTCTGGCCAGTTCTAAAAGAAATTCCTTGCTTTATATAAAGAATGGATAATCAGTCCGTTTTAACTGAAAAAAGTTGTGGCTGCTTTAGAGAAAAATTCAACTAATTTTTGTGCATTTCTTTTAATTCCCCCAAATAATTCATTGTTGATTTTTATTAATGCAAAACATTTCAAATCCTCAGTATATGCCATGCTGACCTTAAGGTTTCTATGACTCTCCCCTAAAACAAGATACGTGGCCACCATTGTGTCATAAACCTCTTGTGGAGGATTGGCGTATGTATGTAGCTCAATTATTGTTGCTGGTTTTAATTCTAGCACGGCATGCCGAAACTGCTTCAGTTTGATGAGGTTATTTCTAAGCGCCTCTGCTCGCTTTAAATGGAGCGTCAATGCATGCCTATAATCACTGTTTTCTACTTCTTCTATAGCCTTTGTCAAGGTTTGTTGATGCCTTCTCAATATTGCATCGCGAAGAACTGAAATAAAAAAATCTAAAACCATCGAAGAAAAATAACAGACACCAGGATTCGTGTAAAGTGCATCTACTTTATATACATGTAGTTGTAATGGACTTTCAAAATCATAATGACGTCTTACTCGTGTGATTTCGGAGATATCCCAGTCGCCTGGTAGCTCTCTCCAAATCTTCGTCTGGGTCAGTTATTTTCTCTCTCTTGGCCTTTTCAATGGCATCCTCTAGATCGCCAATATTTGCAGAAAATGCGGATTTTACGAGTAAATCTCTAGCTTTTCTCTGTTGTACATTCTAAGAGGAAATACATTTCATATAATATACACAATACATGTATATAGAAAACTAAAAAATCGAACACTTCTCTAAAAAGCATTTCTTTATAATCTTACCTCTCTAACTCTTATTCCATCTTCGTAATTGCGAGGGTCTTTTGAAGTTAAAAGATAATTTACTGCGTTCACATAATATAATTTTTCTGGATCAAGAATATATATCTGTAATGCAAATTCAAAGTTAAACTCAGTCTCTTGACAGTCTGGAATAGCCACCGTTAGGTCAAGTTCCTCTCCATTTGCTTCATACTTCACCAACTTTGAGAGGTCGTCCTTTTGCATTTGTCGATGGCGGAGCCTCACTCGCATGTCAATTTTCCTGACTAGAATAAACTTTATCAGTTGAACACCTCCCTTTTTAATCAGAATTACTCCCCAACGGTGGGATGGCTCGGTTAAACCGAGTCGCTCTGTGTGAGCTTTTGGTCCCCATAGGTACACCCCAGGGAAGGTTGGAAGAGGGCAGCACCGGTCCCTTACTGAAGAACATTCTAATCTAAAATCTGCCATCCATTCAGAGTCTTCGCCATCTTGGCTTCCAAACAAAGAAAACCGGAAAGTTCCTGGCGAAGGAACCCGGATTTGGATGTACCACGTTTTGTAATACTTGTCAAGGTAAACAAAAGCACCATCTTCGTCATTATTTCGAGGAGTCCCCTTATACTGATACAAGTCGTAAGCCATGACAACATCGCGAGTTTCTTCCGGTTCTTGTATCTCTACGTGAAATATCCCGGAATCGGAACGAAGAACAGCGACCCGGTCTGTCGTAAGTTCAAATTTGTTCATGAAGAAATAAGGACGAAGATTCGGAAGATACCGAAATTGTTCGAAGGGAATTTCATCATTCACAAGTTGCCAGATATCTATCTCTGGAAAACATAAATTTAACATATCAGTTGGATATGGAAGAAAAAAGTTTTCGTTGAACACGCGAATCTCTGGTTTCTCGTGAATCCTCCTTTTATCGTTTTCTCTTTCTTTGCTTCCAAAATCTTTAGACTTCCTCTTGCCCAAAGGTAAAGATTTTTCGGGGGCTATTTCACGTTTAAATCTCATAGGTGTTAAGGACCTGGATTTCAAAGATTTGGGATTTCTCTTTTTGGGTTCATCACCTGGTCTAAACAAGGGCATCATCTGGCCTCCGGACTCAATCAAGGCCCATTCTGGATTCTCGGCGGGCCATTTGGCCACAGGTGTACATATCAGAAAGGGATGTACCAATCGCCATTGCTTTTCAATGTACACGGCATTCCAACTACATCGGCACTTTTCTCGGTCAATCTCATCTCCCGTTATGTAGTGAGCAGTTTTGTAAAAACCATGGATAATGACACAGTGTATGCCTGCTTGTCTGAAAAAATATTTATATGTATAAAAAATCTGTTTTTATAAAATGTTTTTTGATTTTCTTTAAATTTAATTCCTTCAGCGATACTGTTCTGTAAAAGTCAATTGGTTATGTTTGCTAATTCTCACCTGCACAAAAGAGCAAAGAATGCAGCGAAAGTCCCCTTTTTATTGTATATCAAATTCATGTATCCAGCCGGTGTGTTCGAAGATGTTGCAGGAAGTTTCTTGGTCCTCAACTTTTGTCCACTCATCCACACTAGAATAGAACGTACCTTCAAGATGGGGTCGTCGAAAGGTTTTGTCAGATACTTCACCAGACCAAGGTAGCTGATGAAGAGCTCAGATGGCGCCTATGATACAATTTGGAAAACGTTTCGGTAAACTTTTTTTCATCTATATTTATTCCTTTGCAGAAGATTATATAATTTGATCAATTTGTAACTTGCACTTATTGCACAGAGCATTTCTAAAATGTGTGTATACCTGAAGGGCGTATTCATCAACAGAAGCAAAATCATAAAGGCTAATGTCCAATGGTACCGGTTGAAATGGTGCTTCATAATTATCGAACGCCTCTGGTATGCCAAGCTTAAAATGTAAGAACTAGATACATGTATTTATCAGGTACATTTGTGTGGCATAAAGCATATCATGCTCTCACTAATGTGGATAAATTTTAAACACTCTAAAATTAGTAAAAAGAATCTCAAAATTTAAGAATTCAAGAATTATTTGACGTAGTACCTACAGAATCTGTATTGTCTTCGTGCTCCCAATCTCCTTCTAGATCTAGTCCCTCATAGACATTAGCCTCCTCCAAAGACGCAACGCATCCCATTTGAAGTGAGCTAGACCCGACAGGAAACAGCACACCGATAGAGTCATCAAACACGACTTACGAGTTCAAACTTGGCACATGTACTGGAACTACATGCATCCAATGGAAAGGATGCCCGAAAGGATACCGCGAGGATAACAAGTAAGGGAAGCGTTCAAATACAGAATTTTAATCATGTTTACAAAAGATTCTAAGATCATGCCAAAGTACTTTGCATCAGGTTTAAACGTATGGAACTGCAGCAAATTTTTGTGTTAAATTGTAACATTGTACCTTAATTAAGCGGAGATCTCTGCAAATGACCACTCGGTAGAATCAAAAAACCAACGTTAAACGTCACACATCTTTAAGATCACGCAGTTTTCAAAAGTTTAAAAAATCATAGTCGAGAAAGCAATACCGTTGTACGTTATTTCCAAAGACCATTTAGTTTCTTGTAAAAAATGGCCCGAGACGACCATTATTAAGAAATTTTATACCCGTAGAAGATCTGCATTTAAAAAATTAAATTGATAGACTTTTTTGTAAGAAATTGCCAAAAGTATTACTATACATGTATCTTTATGGATCAATTGAGTGTAAAAAGAACCGTTTTAAACTTTAATTCGATACGAACCTGTTATGACGATAGTCTGATCATACTGAAATTTGAGCGAAGGGAAACAATGAATGTATTAACCGCATCGAAGATTTTCTGTCCCAAAGTGTTTAAAAATAATTTTCTGTCACTTCTATTGTCTTTTGTAGTCAAGGAAAATTTAATGGATTAAGTTTAAATCTTCTATTATTGACACTCGACTTCTTCAATAATTAAGCGGTAAACATTCTCTGTCAAGCAGAGTTTTAAAGTTTTCCCGTAATGGTTTCACAATACAAGCAGTACCAAGAAATATTATTATGGGGGAAAATAGTAATGAAAACATATTTTAAAATATTTACATTTTCCAATGTCTTTCTCCGAGATTAAATTACAAATAGTTAATGTACTTTATTTCTTCATGAATGCACTCGTTCATCGATAGGCGCAGTTAAGAAAAATCACGTGCGGGGCGGGACAATGTAGAGACAGACGCTGGGCTTAGAGCACGTGGATTGGCGGAATCGATAGCATGCAAATATAAGGAATAACTGTAAGATTTTTCAATTTCATGAACAAGCCAATCGATTTATCACATCATGAAATCGAAAAATAAGACAGTTATTCCTTAAATAATCATTTCACTTAGGATACTACTAAGTAGTACATTTATTGGCTAGGTCCGAGGGCAACGTGATTCATCGGACCCAGGAACCAAACTGAAACTTCAACCAAAAACAAACAGTTTGGTTCCAAAGGTCAACAAATGTATTTTACCCGAGAACACAATTAGGCAATCAATTCTTTTTTCATGTTTCGTGATTTTTCCTTTTATACTCATTATAGATAATAACATTTATTTATTTTTAGGCCATCTTTAAAAAAAAATGTTTAGTTGCCCTTTCCTGACCTACTAAAATTGGCCGACTCTTAACTTTTTTTTTAACATTCTAGGACATGATTTTTTTTTATTACTCTTATTCCGTCAACAAATATGTTAAAAGTTTTCTGGAAAAAAGATTTTCTCACCTACCTACCAACCCAATAATTTTACCCTGAGTCGAGAGAGGGCAACCAAACATTATTTTAAAGATGGCCTTATGTACTGCAAAGTGAAATTTACTGAGATAATAATCAGTATTCATGCTCAAAAGTCCATTAAACATTACAAAATAGGAGCAGAGCAAACACGAACCTCCGAACCATCAGAGTTGGGAACAGGTGCCATTCAAATATGTACATGTATAATCATTTCACCTTTATTGTGAAATACTTATATGTAACTGTCAGCACTGTGTGTGATTAACTAGTTGCAATTAGATACTTTATTTAGTTTTAGTTTTATTGGTAACTGAAAAAAGTTTTGTAGTTAAATAACTAGAAGCAGTTTATGAATAACTAAATTAAGTTTTCTTGTTAATAACGTTTTCCTTTCCTCTTTTGAAGGGCGCGAAGTGTATCTCCCTCCTGTTCTCTGGCCATCTGCATGAGCGCTCTTTTCTCTTGAACGATACTGGTCGACTGAAATAGTAAATATAAGTCAAATTAAATCATAAGTATTTATTTGTTTTAGAAAATTTGAAAATCAAACTGTCCAAAACATGTGACAGGTTTAAATATGAAACGGAAATCATAAGAACAATCCACATTAAAGTCCATATTCACTGGTTAAGTGTTATACTTAAAGTGTGCTCTTTTTCCTTTGTTCAGTATGTCATTATTATTTACCAAAAATATAAAGAGTCATACCCATACATAGAAGGCAGCAACACCCGAGCTTTTATTGTGAATCATTTTGATGTCGTATTTCTCCAGAATAGATCCAACTTGTTCCGTTACTGTTTCCGTCAAGTCCACCATATTGAATGTCTTTATCCTGAACATCAAACTCTTTTTCTTCTCAGTTTTCCCCATTAAATAACGTATATCTTCCCAATCCTGCGTGTTTTAGTTTTAATTTAAGCAAATTCATTTGAATGCATATCATGAATAAAGAGGAATTTTATCGTGAACTAAGTTTACCTCCATGCTTTCGATTTTTTCACCCAGCAGCATGTAGGTAGCTGCCATGACGTCTTGAATTTCCGGTAAAACTTGTCGGTAGCCATGAATCTCGGCAATGGTTGACAAACTTAGCGAGAGAACTGGATGTGCAAATTCTTCCAACTTCTTTAAATTCTTCACAATCTTTTTTGCCTCCTTCACTAGCCTCTGGATGGTACTATTCGTTGCAAACTTAGATTGCTCAGCTTTCTGAATTACTGGATTCAAAACTTTGATAAACCTGCGGTTCATTGCGTCTCTTAGCTCTAGAATATAATGCATGATTAGATATATATGGTAGAGAGGTTGCTTTATAATAGTTAAATTAGACCATTTTCAGCAAGAACAGTAACGAAACTCTGATGTATCTCCACTTTTTCCAAAAATAATTAATCATCTTTGCCAACGAAATACGAATAAGTGAAGTGTATAACTTTTATAGCATCTGTGCTTATACTTACTAACGGGGATCACTTTCAGTGTAAACAGTGTATGAGTCTTTACTTTGGTATTCTTTTTGCATGTGCTCTATCTGACTAAAAAAGTTTAAGACCCTACCTGCTTGAAGTTTTAAGAAGTCTCGTTTATCCTGTGCTAAAGTCAGATCGCCATCATCTTCCAGACTCAGTTTGTTGAAGGCCTTGATGGCCTCGTCCAGTTCTTTGTGTGACGTCGCCACCTCAGTGACGTATTTTAGGTTGGTTCTCACCATGGTCTCGGTAGGATTCTACAAAATCACCAGATTATTATTCTATCGATTAAATTTTAGTGTAAATAAAATAAAATTTAAAAAAAATTTCCAACCTCTTTCGAACTTTCGTGGATATATTTCTTCTTGCTTTCTATGGACGTTAGAAGATAGTTGCATACGTTGTCTACTTTCGCTCCTTTCTTTAGATATATACAGAGTGCGTACTCGCTTTCATGTGGAACGGTCACCCAGATGTTCAGCTGATGGTTGGCAGCTCTGAAATTCATACAACCTTCCAGTTCACTTGGATTTATTGTTTTGTTCAACAGATCAACATGAATTTTTTCCTTAGTGTCTAAATCAAATCCTATTAAAGTTGGAATATGTATCTTGACTGAAATAATACCCGTTTTGTGTGTGGCATTAAGAAGACCTGATTTCACTGTATGTAGACTAGGTCCCCATCCTATAAAAGAGGGTTCAAAGGGCAGTTCTATAGGTTTTTTCACAACATTATCACATTGTATCTTGAAATCACAAAACTTAAGCATATAATTCTGAGATTTTCCACCTTTAATGCGCATTAGGTATGTTCCTGATGTTGGGAAACGAATGACGAATGTCCACGTGGTGCGATTACGACACATGATGACATATTTCGTAAACTGTGCGAAATCAGCGAGTAATTGACCTGTTTTCTCATCTAACGTGGACAACTCGAACATTAACAAACCGTCCCAAGCCTCATTCTTAGACTGGATCACAATTTCTGTCTTGCCTTGCAGTGCCTTAAGTTTGCCCCTAAAAGCGGAGACAATATGCATATTGTCACGAAAGAAGGGGTTGTACAAATAGGGAATCTTTACGAACTTCTCCAAACCGAAAGGCACATTAAGTAGCTGCCATTTTGGGTCATCTGGAAGGGCAAAGAAAGCAAACTTATTCGGATCGGTAAGGAACCAGAACTCATTGATAGTTCCTCCTCTTCTCTTCATTTTTACTTTTGGAAGTGTTATGTCCGTTTCCTCTAAGAAAGAAAGTGAAATGGAGTAGAGAATGCATTCTTAAGAGAAAACCCCTGTTTAAACATTACAAACCTGTATTTTTTTTTAGCAAAAGCTGATACCTTCTTCCCTTGTGCTGCCTCGTCTTGGGGTAAATGCCCATTTTGGGAAAATGATCCGCCAATCTCCTTCAACGTACACAGCAACCCATGCATTTCTTAAACGAATTATTTTCTCCATAGGATCACCGACCATATAAGCCTGACTTTTGGCAATCCCTCTGATGAAAACGCACTTCAGATCACACGCCCTGCAACAGAACTGACCACCGTTCTCATCAAAGTCAACTGTAAACGTTTCAGGAATTACATCATTTCTTAGACTTTATTACCTGCACAACTTCAGCAGGAACATAGCATAGGACATCTTTCCCCGTTGAATGTGCCTGATGTCGTTGTATGGTGTGTCTGGCTCCTTGCCTTCAATGGGAGGGAGAATTCGTTGTGGGATGTCCTGCGCACCCATCCATACAAACAAAGTTCTTAACTTGTCCATCGGGGATCGGAATCCCCATACAAGATACTGAATCAGTGTACCCCAACTGTAGCTAACATCTATAGGAGCCTGAACACATATACAAAAAAACAGATGTGGAACACGGGATAAAAACGTGTGCAAAACTAAAAAAAAATACATGTCCACTCTCTTACCAAACTGGAAGGACGGAGAGGAAATCAAACAAATTGATGATTCATCATATATGAAAATATGTAAAACATTTTTACAAGAAAACCTACCATATGCCCTCTCTCGTCACATTCATAGAACCCATCTGGGGCAAAGACATCCTCCTTCCTGTTGCGGGGAGGCCTTGGAGAAGGGTAACCAGGCTGTAAACACAAGAGTTCATTTTCATCCTCTTCCGGTTCACGTAGGGAGTCTGCCATCGACGATTTCTGTCGACTGCTGTGATTGGCGGACGCCCCGTTACCCATACTTTCAATGAGTTTTAATTACACGGCATATTCTCCTTCCAAATATTAGGCCAACAGTCCTTTATCGTCCATCTTCTGAAGATCCCGTTTCTCTTATGAATCTTTCTGAAACTTTTTTGAGGCCAAAAGTCAGAATTTTCATCATTAAGTTAAAAATAAAACTTAGGCTCTCACTCTCTTTGATCATTGTTTTTATTGACTGATAAAACAAATAAGGAATAGAAAGCCACCCTTGCATGACGCCATTAGAAACCATTGTAAACCTTTGTCTAAGTTAAATGTCTTTTTTCGCATTAATAGTTTTGCTGATTTCTACCTTTCGAATGCCTCATGCACTTTACATTAACTGTAGAAATTTTACAATTCTGAAAATATGTTTTCTAATCTCACAAATAGATAATATATCTTTTTCAATTAAATAATATAAAAACGACAACGATTGGAAAAAATATATTTTACTGTCAGGTTTACCTTAGTACAATGGACCCCAAGAATGACATCATTATTTTTTTTACAATAGAAAATTATTTCTAAACAGTCCTTTCTAAAACAGCATACCTACAGTTATTCAAATAAATACCATCTTTTCAAGCAATGCAAATTCAATTTAGTTCGTTTTGACCCCTAAATACGATGGAGGAAGGAGTGGCATTTACGTACATTTAGGACCAAATATCTTTGAAAACAAACAAGTACTAGTATCATTTACCGGTGGAGAGTTGCAAATTTTGTCTTACCATCGGCACTAAGAGCCATTGTGCAGTGGGGGAACTTTTTCGTGCCATCATTTACTGTGATACGAGACCTCGGTTTACATGGTCTCATCCGAAGGACTGGTCTCCACGTCCCAGAGTGGGATTCAAACCCACGACGTAAGGATCAACTCCAGAGCAGACGCTCTAATCACTGCGCCACGTGGGCGACAAGTAATAAGTAATTCAGTATTAAGATTACTTTGGAAATTTTCTAGGGATTATCCCCAATTAGTGTCTAAAAACTACTTAACAGATTGAAAAAAAATTCCTTAGACTTTGTTAATTTCATTAAAATCAAGAAATGAGTTTAATAAATTTGACCTTTTTTGAAAAACAAAGATAGAGATAATTGTCAGAATGGTAAGTTTTTTGTTAAAAACTTATTTTACCTTTTCATCAAAATAAACGGCCACTCATTTCAATATTTATTATAAATAAAAAGAAAAGAAAAAAATATGAGTATTTATTTGTTTATTCTATTAGCTCATAATTTTGATAATATTAAACCACCTACATGTACAATTGTACATAATTTTCAAAGCTTTTTTTGGGATATATTGACAGTCTTTATTAACACAGATCTACATTGTAAAATAAACGTTTTATTTCTTGACTTTCTGTGGCTTTCCGGCTCCTGATTTGTTGCTAGCTTTGGATACCGTGCTTTTACTCTTCTTGTTTCCAATAATTTGTGTAGCTATATTCTTTGCCTTCAAAAACAAAAGAAAAATAAAATAAAATAAATATGATTTATTTGTTCTTTTACCATTTTAAACATTACCTTATATGAGTATATAATAAACATTACCCAATTATAAAAGGTTCCGGCACCAGCGCTGGCAGTGGACACTTGTTCAGCCGTGTACGGTTCTAAAATTTCTAGAACTTCCGTGGCTAATTCCTTATCCGTACCCAGCGTATCAAACTTCCGGACTCTGTATAATAAACTTTGTCTTCCGGTCTGTCTCATAAGGGTCTGAATGTCCTCCCATATCTGTAAACATTAAACGATGAAACTGTTCTTTTTGGGAGAATTCAATATATGACGTTATAAAATAAAATTTAGAATTACAAAGGATAGACAACATGCACTTTGAAGAAATCGTTATATTTCTTCGTAAAAAATAAAACAAAAACGATTGATGGATTCATACCTGAAGATTACGGGAGGGTTCGCCAAGGAGAAGATATGTCGCCTTCATGATACTGAAAACCAGTGGAGGTGGTATAGCATAACGATGAAGCTCCGATATCGTCGTCTGTCTCATCTCAAGCACATCGTGAGCAAATCTTTTCAAGGTCAGGAGGTGTTCTCGGAGCTCCTCGGCCTCTTTTATGCGATCCATTAATTTGTATTCATGCTCTGAAGATTTGGCTGCATTTATAGCTGGTATAAGGACGTCTATATTCCTTCTGTTAATTCCATCAAGCAGTCCTGGAATAGAAGATTTATGTTTTTAATTTGTTGCTCTCTAAAACATCTTAATCAGTCAACAGCAAGTGTAAGAAAAGGCTTTTTACCCTTTTGTAACTGGAGAAAGTCCAAGCGTTCATGAGCGACCTTAATATCCCCCTTGTCCAACAGACAGAGCGTGTCGGCCTTTTCAATCGCATGCTGAAGTTCCTCGGCATTTTTGGAAGTCGCTGAAAACGTCTTTGTTCTAAGGTCCAGTCTTGCAACTTTTTCTCGTGCATTCTAAAGCATGAAAAGAAAGTATTGGAGTTTGTAATACTAGTGTTCTTGATTATAAACAGGCTGCAGACATAAAGTCCTACCTCCCAAGTTCTCATTCTCTTAATATCCGTATTTAGAAGGTAGTTGCAGACATTTTTGAATCCACCGGTCGATCCCTTTTCTTTACAGTTGATGTGAAGTGTGTATTCACCTTCTTCCGGTGGTGTGACGTAGATACGCAGATTGTCATTTTGTACATGTTGTGTGACGTACTTCGCAAGACTGTCGCTGGAAATGACAAAACTGTAAAGCGTGGTTTGAACTGTGACAAATTTTGTCAATGCAAATTCTATTCCACAAGCCCTATTTCTGTGAACTTGTACCAAACCAGATTTATGAGATATTGGTTGTAAACCCGCATCCTGGGTCAGTTTCTGTGGTCCAAATCCAATCTCTGGTACACTGGGGTATGGATTAGTTTGCTCCTTTACATCTGTGCACGTGATTCTACTTGAAAGTAGCCATTGATTCATGCCATTGACTACTCCATTTATCCTAAGTTTATAGATCCCTTGAACAGGAAATCTCATGACAAACGTAACCTTACAATCTTGGTGAACCATTGCAACGTAATTTTGAAGTTGTATATTCGAGGGCAGAGTAGAACCCGATTCCTTACTATTAAAAAATAAGTCATAAGACAACGTTATTGACAGATCTTCTGGAATTTTTATGGCCACATCACACTCTCCTTGTAAAGATTCGAGTCTACACGAGTAAGTGCTCAGTAACTTTAATTTATTTTTGAAGAAGTCTTGTCTAAGATACGGAAGATCAAGAAATCTTTCTTTGGAAATGACCTTTGGTATTAGCTGCCATTTTGGTTCATTTGGAAAACAATGGTAAAGAAAAACATCCGGGTCAGTCAGAAAGTAAAATTCATTCAACTGGTTTATCACAGTTCCACCCGAAACCTTCGACTCTTGTCGTTTTCCAGCACCTTGTAATAAAAATGGAAACGATATTCACAAGCTGGTAAAACACTTTATAATGATACGTATATGTTGCCCATATTAAGATATATTTCATCATTACCTGTCGACTCTATCAAGGTCCACTTGCCCGTACTGTGGCCCACAACACATCTACACGCCCACAATGGAAAGATTATGCGCCATGATCCCCCTACATAGACGGCATTCCAGGAATTGGTCAGATTCTCAGTTTTCTTATCCCCGACCTCATAAGCAACACTTTTAGCAATGCCCTGTATTGTGACACACTGAATATCAACAGCCCTGTAAAAAGCGATTAAGACTGCTCAAGTCAAAGCTTAATGAAGTAGACATTCGAACACTAGAGTTTGAAATTTCTCATATGCCTGAGTTTTTAATCAATTTTAATTCAGTAGCAAAGTAACATACCTACACAGCATGGCAAAAAGCGTAGTGTATGACGTCTCTCCCCTTTTCATCATTCCAAGGATCCCTTCTGGGGAATCAGCAGCGGCTTTAGGGGACCACTTCCGGCTGAAAATTGGCTGAGCTGACATCCATACGAACAAAGCACGGACCTTAAGCAGCGCCTTTGGATATGCTACCGTAAGCCGCTCGGCCAACTCTTTTATTGTCTTATAATCATCGGGAAGGACCTAAAATATGTTTAATGTCAATTTGAAAGTTTTTTTTAAATCTTACAAATGTTTGATCAATATACATACGCGCTAGCTGAATATAAAGCATGAATGAATTACGGTTTTGGCTTCGGCGTCCACTGCATCGAAGTCAAAGAACTGTAGAAGTTCCAACGTCCGGTTGTGCGGCGGCTTAGGGACGTGGTATTCTGGTAAAGTGTGTGGGATCGGGTTCTGTGGATAAAAGCCACAAATATATGGGCACAATTTTAAATGCATTGCAACTCATAGCCAGATCGAGACGCTTCAATGTTTTAGCACAGATTTAAGTCCTTTGCTTTTTGTAGATCAAATCTTGAAATAAAGGAAACCTAACATGAAGGTGAATATGATAAAAGAATTCAATTAATGAAATGATATATTATTATACTTTCATGTTAAATACTAGAATCTGATTGGTTTAGACGCAGTTAACAATCCGTTCTATTACCCTCAGGCTTAGCAACACACGTGACAACGGTTAACACAACAGTAATGTTACATGCGTGGAAATTATGCGCGTACGGTTCACCGTAGAATTCTCAAAACGTCAGTTGTGCGTTTGAAAGAACCGGAATAAACTTGACGTCAATGAAAGCTTGCGTCCGATGTAGCTTACTTGAAAACAACAAACGACAGACGAAACATGCTTATGCAGAAATAACGAAACTTTAGATGATAAAGGACTCTTAGAGTATCAAATAAACAATAAAGAGGTCAGTAAATCTTTTTCGAAGTAGCGTGGAGTTTGAAAGCTATCTAAACGTGAACGTAACGACGATTTTTTTTTCTGACATCCTAAATCAAGAAGACATTCAGTATAATAAAATAAATAGTGCCTGTTTTGGAGGGTAACAGTTGAAATTGACACCCCTCGGAAAACCATTGCCAACCTCCGCTGACGCGTCGGTTGACAAATGAATGGTTTTCCTTGGGGTGTCAATTTCAACTGTTACCCTCCAAAACAGGCACCATTTATATAATATTAAATCTGGGTCACACTCAAAACAGTTATAAGA